ACCTTGTAGAGATCATTTGCCTCCTTGGCTAAGTATATTCCTAATTATTATTATTATTATTATTTTGCAGCTGTTGTAAGAGGAGCTGAATTCTTGATTTGATTCCTAGTTTGGGTTGTTGTTTGTGTATGGCAGTGCTACCGAATTGTGTACATTGATTTTTGTATCCTGAAACTTTACTGAATTCATTTATCAGATCTAGGAGCTTTTTGGATGTCTTTAGTGTTTTTTAGGTATACAATCATATCATCAGTGAACAGTCAGTTTGACTTCCTCTTTTCCAATTTGGATACCCTTTATTTCTTTCTCTTATTTGAATGTTCTGGCTAAGACTTCCAGAAATATGTTGAATAGAAGTGGTGAAAGTGGACATCCTTGTCTTGTTCTAGCTCTCAAGAGTAATGCTTTCAACTTTTTCCCATTCAGTATAATGTGGGCTGTGGGTTTGCCATAAATGACTTTTATTACCTGAAGCTATGTCCCCTCTATGCCGATTTTGTTAAGGTTTTAATGCTGAAGCAATGCTGGATTTTGTCAGGTTTTTTCCTGAACCTATTGAGATAATCATGTGATTTTTGTTTTTAAATCTGTTTGTGTGGTATATCACATTTACTTACCTGCATATATTAAACCAGCCTTTCATTTCTGGTATAAAATGCACTTGATCATGGTGTATTATCTTTTTGATATGCTGTTGTATTTGCTTAGCTAGGATTTTGCTGATAATTTTATCATCATCTAAGTTCATCAGAAATATTTACTTTTCTTGTTTTTTTGTCATGTCTTTTTCTGGTTTGGGGATTAGGGTGATACTGGCTTGATGGAATGATTTAGAGAAGATTCCCTTTTTATCTTTTGAACAGTTTCAGTAAGATTGGTACCAATTCTTCTTTGAATGTCTGATGATAAAATATATCTGTGAATTCATATGCTCCCGGACTTTTTGGATGGCAATTTTTTATTACTATTTCAATTTCACTACCTCTTATTGGTCTGTTCAGATTTTCCATTTCTTCCGGGTGTAATCTAAAAGGATTGTGCATTTCCAGGAATTTATGTAGCTTCTCTATGTTTTCTAATTTGTATACGTAAATGTATTTACGGTAGCCTTCAGTAATCTTTTGTATTTCTGTGGTATTGTCTGTAATATCTTCCATTTTGTTTCTAATTGAACTTATTTAGATCTTCTCTCTGCCTTTTTTTGGTTAATCTTGCTAATAATGGTCTACCAATTTTGTTCATCTTTGTAAACAACCAGCTTTTTGTTGCATTTATCTCCTTGTATTCTTTTGTTTCAACCTCAGTTAGTTTTTCTCTGATCTTTGTTATTTTTTCTTTGCTGCTGCATTTGGATTTGATTTGGTTTTGCTTCTCTAGTTTTTTGAGGTGTAACCATACGTAGTCTACTTGTGTTATTTTAGACTTTTTGATGTAGGCATTTTTTGCTATCAACTTTGTCTTAGAACCACTTTTGCTGTATGCCAGAGGTATTCATAAGTTGTGTCATTATTGTCATTCAAATCAAAGTGTTTTTAAATTTCCATCTTAATTTTGTTGTTGATTCAAAGCTCACTCAGGAGGCTGGGCATGGTGGCTCACTCCTATAATTTCAGCACTTTGGGAGGCTGAGGTGGGCAGATCACTTGAGGTCAGGAGTTTGAGACTAGCCTTGCCAAAATAGTGAAACTCCATCTCTATTAAAAATACAAAAATTAGCCAGGCATGGTGGCTTGTTCCTCTAATCCTATCTACTCAGAGGCTGAATTGCTTGAATCTAAGAGGTGGATGTTGCAGTGAGCCAAGATCATGCCACTGCACTCCAGTCTGGGCAACAAAGTGAGTCTCTGTTTAAAAAAAAAAAAAAAAAAATCATTCAGGAGTAGGCTATTTGGGTTTATTTCTGGGTTCTGTATTCTGGTCTATTGATCTATGTGCCTGTTTTTATACCAGTATCATGCTATTTTGGGAACTATGGGCTTATAACATATAGTATGACTTGAAATCAGGTAACGTGATGCCTCCAGATTTGTTCTTTTTGCTTAGTCTTGCTTTGGCTATGTGAGCTCTTTTTTGGTTCCATATGGATTTTATCAGTGTTTTTTCTACTTCTGTGAAGAATGTTGGTGGTATTTTGATGGAAATTGCATTGAATTTGTAGATTGCTACTGATTTGTGTACATTAATTTTGTATCCTGAAACTTTGCTGAATTCATTTATCAGTTATAGAAGCTTTTCAGAGTCTTTAATGTTTTCTAGGTATACCACTATATTATTTATCATCAAACAGCAACAGCTTGACTTCCACCTTACCAATTTAAAACTTTTTTTTTTTTTTTTTTTTTGAGACAGAGTCTCCCTCTGTCACCAGGATGGAGTGCAGTTGTGCGATCTTGGCTCACTGCAACCTCTGCCTCCGGGTTCAAGTGATTCTCCTGCCTCAGCCTCCTGAGTAGCTGGGACTACAGGTGTGTGCCACCACACCCAGATAATTTTTGTATTTTTAGTAGAAACAGTGTTTCAGTATCTTGGCCAGGCTGGTCTCAAACTCCTGAGCTCATAATCCACCCCTCTCAGCCTCCCAAAGTGCTGGGATTATAGGCATGAGCCACAGTGCCTGGCCTAACAATTATACCTGTCTCATCACTTAAAAGAGCCACTAGTTTTGTTTTGTTTTGTTTTGTTTTTTGAGACGGAGTCTTGCTCTGTCACCCAGGCTGGAGAGCAATGGCATGATCTCGGCTCACTGCAACCTCCGCCTCCTGGGTTCAAGCCATTCTCCCGTCTCAGCCTCCTGAGTGGCTGGGATCGCAGGTACACACCACCATGCCCAGCTAATTTTTGTATTTTTAGTAGAGACGGGGTTTCACCATGTTGGTCAGGCTGGTCGTGAACCCCTGACCTCGTGATCCACCCGCCTCGGCCTCCCAAAGTGTTGGGATTACAGGTGTGAGCCACTGCGCCCAGAAAGAGCCACTAATTTTACTTTTGAAATATACTGAATATTTCTATTAAAAGCTAAGATAAGCTTACTATTATGTAGAAAATTTGTGGTTTGCATGTGCATTATTACCCATTAAGTGATCTACAGTTTCTGAAAGTTTCAGAAACACCAATATAAAAATACTATTTCTGATTGAATAAAAGATATCATCATTTTAGTCACTACTAAATGAAACAGATTGGAATTGCTAGTCACAATGTGGTTTTAAATGTTATTTAATGAACACATGTGAAGTTTCTGTTCAACTCATGTTAACTATTTTTTCACTTCTATTAGAAAAATATTAAAATTTAAATTACTACAAATATATGAATGTATTCAAATCTAAACACAGTGCCAATCTTAAAAGATCTGTATGCATAGGATTATAGAATGCCTATTCTCTATTTACCTTAGAAGATAAATAACTGCTTTTCAATAAACCCAACGGGGCAACTGTGACTCACAATCATAAGCTACTAAAATATTAATACTATCATCTAGAAAGTATTTATTAATTCATTTTTCTTACTTTTGAGATACAGTCATAATTTCTAGTTGTCATAACACTAGATTTGAGGTGCTGTGGCTGCAGTAACTAGAAATGTCATGGTTGACTCTGCTTTACTTTCTGCCTATTTCTTACAAACACAGCAAAACAAGGAAGGCCAGAAATCCTACACCTTGATTGCAAATACACCAGTACCCTTCTAGGGAGAATATATGTTCGAACATATTAACTTGAAATTCCTGGCATCTTTTCTTGAAGAACAGACTTTTTTTTTTTTTTTTTTGAGGTGGAGTTTTTCTCTTGTTGCCCAGGCTGGAGTGTAATGGTGCAGTGTCGGTTCACTGCAACCTCTGCCTCCCAGGTACAAGCGATTCTCCTGCCTCAGCCTTCTGAGTGGCTGGGATTACAGGCACCTGCCACCACGCCTGGCTAATTTTTTGTGTGTTTTTAGTAGAGACGGGGTTTCATCATGTTGGCCAGGCTGGTCTCAATTTCCTGACCTCATGATCTGCCTGCCTCGACCTTCCAAAGTGCCGGGATTACAAGCGTGAGCCACCGCGCCCAGCCTAGAACAATTTTCTTACACTTTAGAACAATTTTCTTACATCTTTAGAACAATGTATGTGTATATTTAACTTTATGTAAATCAAAACTAAAAGTCATATATGTTTGCAGGCAGAGAGGCCAAAAGTTCAAAAATGTATATATAACAAAATTTTAATATTGTAGTCAATAACAACTTAGTTGTACATTTAAAAATAACTTAAGGCCAGGCATGGTGGCTCACACTTGTAATCCCAGCACTTTGAAAGGCTAAGGTGTGTAGATCACAAGGTCAGGAGTTCAAGACCAGCCTGACCCACACAGAATACCGGTAAGTCTCTACTAAAAATACAAAAATTAGCCGGGCATGGTAGTACGCACCTGTAATTCTGGCTACTTAGGAAGCTGAGGCAGGAGAATCGCTTGAACTCGGGAAGTGGAGGTTGAAGTGAGCCAAGATCCGCCACTGCACTCCAGCCTGGGCGATAGAGCGAAACTCCGTCTCAAAAAATAAACAATAAAAAATAAAAATAATTGAAAGTGTAGAGCTGGATTGTTTGTAATACAAAACATAAATGCTAGAGGTGATGCATACCTCATTTACCCTGATGTGATTATTACATATTATATGCCTATATTAAAATATATGTTATATGGCATAAATATATACACATACTTTGTACCCACAAAATTTAAAAAACAGATTTAAATGAGAAAAAAAGAATAAAAATTTAACCTACAGAAACAATATTTTTTAACTTATTTGCAGTTGAAAGCCACTGGCAAAAGAGATTACCAGAGATGTTAGTTGATTATGTTACCAAATAGTATATTCTTACTATCTTTTACCTACACCTTTGAGTAAATGGGATAGGTTTCAGTTAGTGGCATAATAATGCTTCATTGAATGCACAATATTAACATGTTAAAAACTGTATAATTAAGCAATTAAGTTCACACATAATCTGAAATTTTAAAAATGTACTGCATTTTATTACATAAAAGTACAAGTAGTAAAATCATATACTAATTTTTAAATTTTAACAAAACAAGTACGTTCTCACTATAATGCAAAAGAATATTACTGTGAACACCTACCTCATGCACCACTCAATATCATAAGTTAACCACAAATAGCGTCTCCACTAAGATTTTCATCATGCATGTAACATTTTAATGTCCTTACTCTTCCAAAGAAAAGGTCATAAATAATGCCCACTTAAAAAAAAAGAAACTCTCCTATCTTTGATGCAGTGACAACTGATCACATTCGAATACAATAGAAATGAAGAAATAGCATCAAGTAATTTCAGAGTTGAATTACAGCATTATTAGCTTTTTAAAAAATCTGTACTTCTTTTCAAGGGAAAAAGTATACTTTGGGCTGGGCGCGGTGGCGTAAGCCTGTATTCACAGCACTTTGGGAAGCCAAGCTGGGCAGATCATGAGATCAGAAGTTCAAGACTAGCCTGACCAACATGGTGAAACCCCGTCTCTACTAAAAACACAAAAATCAGTCAGACGTGGTGGTGTGCACCTGTAATCCCAGCTACTCAGTAGGCTGAAGCAGAATTGCTTGAACCCAGGAGGCAGAGGTTGCAGTGAGCTGAGATTGTGCCACTGCACTCCAGCCTGGACGACAGAGAGATTCTCTGTCTCAAGGGGGGGAAGGGGGAAGTATAGTTTGAATGTAATTACAAACTTTCAAAAAATTTTCTACTCTTTTTAAAATTATGTACAAATAAATTTATCTACCGTTTGGGATCATTTTTTACACTCAGCACTTTGATACAGTGTAATGTCTGAAGTGTCAGTACCTTAGTATTTTTTGTTTTTGTTTTTGAGATGGAGTCTCACTCTGTCGCCAGGCTAGAGTGCAGCAGTATAATTTCGGCTCACTGCAACCTCTGCCTCCCGGGTTCAAGTGATTCTCCTGCCTCAGCCTCCCGAGAAACTGAGACTACAGGCACGTGCCACCACGTCCAGCTAATTTTTATATTTTTAGTAGAGACAGGGTTTTATCATGTTGACCAGGATGGTCTCAATCTGTTGACCTCATGATCCACCCACCTCAGCCTCCCAAAGTGCTGGGATTACAGGCGTGAGCCACCATGCCCGGCCCTACCTTAGATATTTCTACTGTAAATTCTCTGATATTTACATAGACTTAATTTTGGATTGAATGTTTTAAATATATACTGCATCTGCAAAAATATATTTCAGTATGAACGCTCTGGTGTTGTCTAAGTTGTAGTTTTGGAAAAAAAATTCAAATTTATTACGTTTGCAGGGTTGTCCTCCAATCTGAATTCCCTGATGTTGAACAAAGTTTAAGCAACTGCTTCACGGTTTTCTCTAGTACAAAACGTGTACAGTAAGATCTGTGATACAAGTAAAGGTACTACAACCCTCTTTTATTTGTAATGTTTGTCTTCACAATAAATACTCTACTTTAAAAGCTTATATTTTCTGAAAGATTTTTTGACAGTAATTAAATTTATAATACTTTTATTAAGTACTCTCTGATGTTGAGTAAGATGTGAGCAGACATTAATGGCTTTTTCACAGTCTTTATATTGGTACAATTTTTCTCAAGTGTAAATGCTTTCCTGGCAATAAGGTGTGAGTATTCATTAAAAAGTTTGCCACATTCTTCACACTTGTAAGAGTTTTTGTAGTAATAATTATCTTACCTACAATCAAGTGTGACAATCATTTAAAGGTTTTGTCACATTTTCCACATTTTGAAAGTTCCTCAGCAGTATGATTTATTTTATGCTTAGAAAAGTTTGAGGTGTTGTCAAAATTACTGCGATGTCTTCCAGCTTTGTAGTTTCTCTCAAGGTTTTTTTTTTTTTTAACGTGTAGTAAGATTTGGGGACCAGTTAAGTACTTTGCCACATTCTTTACATTTGTAGGGTTTCTCTCTAGTATGAATTATCTTTTTTTTATATAAGGATTAAGAGCCAGTTAAAGGTTTTGCCACATTTATCACATTTGTAGGATTTCTCTCCAGTATTGTCTTGTGTTTTAATAAAAGTTGAAAATACACTAAAGGATTTGACACATTATTTACATTTGTAGAGTTTCTCTTTGGTATGAATTCTCTTATGTTTAGTAAGGTTTGGGGACTGGTTAAAGGCTTTGCCACAGTCTTCACATTTGTAGGGTTTCTCTCCAGTATGAATTATCTTATGTTTCATAAGGGTTGAGGACTGGTTAAAAGCTTTGCCACATTCTTTACATTTGTAGGGTTTCTCTCCAGTATGAATTATCTTATGTGTAGTAAGGTGAGAGGACAGAATAAAGCTTTTGCCACATTCTTCACATTTATAGGGTTTCTCTCCAGTATGAATTTTTTTATGATTAGTAAAATTTGAGGAGTAGTTAAAAGTTTTGCCACATTCTTCACATTTGTAGGGTTTCTCTTCAGTATGAATTACTTTATGTTTAGTAAGGATTGAGAATATACTAAAAGCTTTACCACATTCTTCACATTTGTAGGGTTTCTTTCCAGTATGAATTACCTTATGATAAGTAAGAGTTGAGGACTTGGTAAAGGCTTTACCACATTCTTCACATTTGTAGGGTTTCTCTCCAGTATGAATTACCTTATGATTAGTAAGGTGTGAGGACCGGTTAAAAGCTTTACCACATTCTTCACATTTATAGGGTTTCTCTTCAGTATGAATTATCTTATGTTTAGTAAGGGTTGAGAATACACTAAAAGCTTTGCCACATGCTTCACATTTATAGGGTTTCTCTCCAGTATGAATTCTCTTATGTGTAGTAAGGTGTGAAGATAAAGTAAAGGCTTTGCCACATTCTTCACATTTGTAAGGTTTCTCTCCAGTATGAATTTTCTTGTGATTAGTAAGGTTTGAGGACTGCTTAAAAGCTTTGCCACATTCTTCACATTTGTAGGGTTTCTCTCCAGTATGAACTATCTTATGTTTAGTAAGGTTTGAGGACCGGTTAAAAGCTTTGCCACATTCTTCACATTTGTAGAGTTTCTCTCCAGTATGAATTATCTTATGTCTAGTAAGAGTTGAGGATTGGTTAAAAGCTTTTCCACATTCTTCACATTTGTAGGGTTTCTCTCCAGTATGAATTATCTTATGATTAGTAAGGTTTGAGGACTTTTTAAAAGCTTTGCCACATTCTCCACATTTGTAGGGTTTCTCTCCAGTATGAATTATCTCATGTTGAGTTAGTTGTGAAAGCATGCAAAATGATTTGCCACATTCTTTACATTTGAAAGGATTTTTTCCAGTATGTCTTATCTTATGTCTCTTTGAATATTTATGAAAGACTTTCACATATTTATCATACTGAACTACTGTGCTCTGGGTAGTTGTCACACATTGGTTAAGTTCCTTATGACCTCCTTTGTGCAACTTATGCTCATCCACACTTTTACAGCCTTTTCTTAATTGTAAATTCTGATATCCACATTTTCCATATCTTCTCAGTATCACTTGTTGGAATGAATTTTTTATGTACTGCTCTGGCCTAAGGTCTTTGGCAAAATGAGAACACATAGCTGAAAGAAATAAAAATAACAAATTATTCCACTTACTCGGCTCCGATTAATGTCATTTACAAATCTAACTTACACCAGCTATATAAGCAAAATGGCACAGCAAAACACCACAGATCCTAAATCCTTTATAGACACATAAATGTAACAAAAACATTCTGACCAAAATACATTTGTGAAAAATTTATAAATGAGTAAAGTGTGTGCAGTGTCCCAGGTGAGGATAATGCAAAGAGCCACACAGGAGAAAAAAGAAAAGTCTGTTACATTTACCCAACACACCTCTTTCTGCTGCCCAATCTAACATGGTGACTTTAGAAGTAAATTGTCAACTCCTGGTTTCTTTTTTAAAAGACTAAAAAAAATAGTGTCACATACATCTTTATTTCTGGCTCTCAGGGGCCTTTTCAGACACTGGTTTCTGTCTCCCATGACATAAAGTACTAAAATAAATGGTAGTATACTTTGGAATCACAGTTTGAGTCTGCTGAGACCAAAGTTAAGTGTTACAGCAGCAGAGACTGCAGTACCACATACAGGAAACAGGTTTAGCAAGTGATTACTGAGTATTTAGAAGAAACGCTAACATACTTCTTTAACTTAAAAAGCCCACAAAATTTTAGACAAGACACAATCTAAGAAAATGTTAGAGAGACTCCCAAAATCTCTAGCCAAGACAACTGGTTTCAGACTGTCCCAGGCCTAAGCTACATTATAAAGATTGTGACAGGGCCGGGCACGGTGGCTCACAGCTGTAATCCCAGCACTTTGGGAGGCCAAGGAGGGTGAATCACCTGAGGTCGGGAGTTCAAGACCAGCCTGACCAACAAGGAGAAACCCCATCTCTACTAAAAATACAAAATTAGCTGGGCATGGTGGCACATGCCTGTAATCCCAGCAACTAGGGAGGCTGAGGCAGGAGAATCACTTGAACTCGGGAGGCAGAGGCTGTGGCGAGCTGATATCACGCCACTGCACTCCAGCCTGGGCAACAAGAGCAAAACTCCGTCTCAAAAAAAAAAAAAAAAAGATTGTGACAGGTAGCTTGTTTTTAATGTCTAAATCTCAATCAAAGATTAATGTATACAAAATATTAGGGCAGGATGACCCCATCAAAAACATTACTAAACTTTCAGAAAGCAACCATAGGAATATAAAGATGTACAAATTTTTAAAATTTAAAATAAATTAAATACTACACAGTGAATGAAACAGGAACACAGACAACTACTGAAGTTTAGAAAACTCAGGATAACAATAAAAATATTAAAAATATCAAAAAACATAAATTAGGAAGATAAAAATGTCACAGTCAAGAAGAGAATCTTGGGAGCTGCAAGACAAAGTAATGTATCATTTATAAAAATGTCTTATGAGATAACCAGTAAATTTTCAAAAAATATTGGAATACCTGACGAGAACTGGGTGATATAGTCAAAGCCCTGGAAAAAAAAAAAAAAACCGCTGTCAAGTGAAAATAATACAACTAAAAAGAACTGGTTGGGCAACGTGGCTCATGCCTATAATCCCAGCACTTTGGAAGGCCGAGGCAGGTGGATCACCTGAGGTCAGGAGTTCGAGACCAGCCTAGCTAACATGGTGAAACTCCATTTCTACTAAAAATATAAAAAATTAGCCAGGCGAGGTCACATGTGCCTGTAATCCCAGCTACTCAGGAGGCTGAGGCAGGAGAATCGGTTGGACCTGGGAGGCAGAGATTGCAGTGAGCCAAGATCATGCCACTGCACTCAAGCTTGGGCAACAAGAGTGAAACTCCTTTTCAAAAAAATAAATAAATAAATAAATAAAAAAGAACTGTCCAACCGAATAAAAAGAAAGACCTTCTAAAAATAACCTAATCCTGAAAAAGTATATTGGCACTGCATATACCCTACATACCAAAGATGCTGAAAGGAGTTCTTCCCACTGAAAATAACATGATGCAGGAAAACACATAATCATACAAAAAAATATAACTTTCTGGGAAAGATATTTACATACACAAAAATAGAATTCCTTAGCATTTTAATAATCATGCAGAAAACATTATTAATTATTCTATAAAATCTTAAAGATAAAAGCATAGAAATGATTATAAACATCTGTTAATGTAACATAAAAATAAATAATTAGCGGCCAGGCACAGTGGCTCATGCCTGTAATCCCAGCACTTTGGGAGCCTGAGGAGGGTGGATCACCTGAGGTCAGGAGTTCAAGACCAGCCTGGCCAACATGGTGAAACCCCATCTCAACTGAATATATAAAAATTAGCTGGGCGTGGTGACAGACAATTGTAATCCCAGCTACTTGGGAGGCTGAGACAGGAGAACTGCTTGAACCTGAAAAGTGAAGGTTGCAGTGAGCCAAGATTGCACCACTGCAATTCAGCCTAGGTGACAGAGCAAGACTGTCTCTCAAAAAAAATGAATAAATAACAATTAAAAAATATGTATGGATATAATTAGCAACATCAATAACAAAGTAGAAAGTAGATGTAATGAGAAAGAATTTTTTGTATGCAAACAAGGTCAATTTTTTTTGTTTTGTTTTCAGATGGAGTCTCACTCTGTTGCCCAGGCTGGCATGATCTCGGCTCACTGCAACCTACGTTTCCTGGATTCAAGCAATTGTGGTGCAAATAAGGTTAATTTTTTACTACATTAAAATTGTTTTTTTTTAAGTTTTTATGTAATTCCCAAGGTACTACAAAGAATATATCTGTATAGATACACAAAAGAAAATAAGAAAGTAGTGAAAGCATATAATACAAAAACCAAAGGACACAAAAGACAGAAAGAGGGAAAATGAGGGACAAAGATACAAGAGTTAAAGAGAATTAATAAAATTACATTAGTTTTGCTTTCGGAAAATTATTTAAATATATATAAAAGTAACTTTTCAATCTAGAGACATAATTTTCAACAAAATGATTTATTAAAATCTTTCAAATGCCAAGATTTATTTGCCTTTTTACAAGAGTCAGTTGAAATCTAATGATAAAAAAAAAGACTGAAAGGAGCAAGATGAAAGTAGAAATTTTATGCAAATATTAACCAAATGAGAGAAGAAGAGGTCAAAATAATATTACACAAGCTACATCTTAAGTCAAAAAGTGTCATATTTAACAAGATGTACTTTAAGTCAAAACTCTGAAAAGAAAAAAGGACACTGAACAATAGTAGATTCATTTACTGGGAACCAATGACTAGTTTGTGTGTGTGTGTGTGTGTGTGTGTATGTGTGTACGCATGCACATCTCACATTAGGGTTTCAAATATATAAAACAAATATTGACAGAATTGAAGAAACACACAGAGAGCAATATAATTATAGAATATATCAAGACCCCATTTTCTTAAAAATAAAACAAGACGGAATATTAGCAAGGGAATAGAAAACTTGAAATCAGTATGGAACAATTATTTCTAACAGAGGTATAGAGAGTCGAACATCAGGATATACACCCTTCCCGATAGCTCATACAGCATTCTCCTTGAAAGGACCATCTGTTAGGCCAAAAAAAATTCTTAACACATTTTTTAAAACAGAAATCTTATGAATTACTTTCTGTGACCAAAATGGAATGAGATTATAATTTAAAGAACGGAAAAATTCACAAATACATAGAAATTAAACAACACATTTTGAGTGTGCTCTTGTTCAAAGGTTGAAATAATATTGTGTAGATTTCCATACTGCTCAAAGTAATCTAGAGATTGAATGTAATGTTTTTCAAATTTCTTATTGCATTTCTGAAGAAATAGAAACAGCAACCCCAAAAGTATATGGAATCTCAAGAGACTATACTCAACAATCTTCAAAAAAAGGAACAATGTTGGAGGCATTACAGTTTTTTACTTCAAAACACATGACAAAGCTACATAATAAAAACAATTTTGTATGAATATAAAGATAAGAAAGTAGATAAATAAAACAGAATCCAGCACATGAACTTTCACATATACGGTCATATAAAGAGTCATTTTGCATACCCATAATTATTGCAGCACTGTTACTCAAAGCCAATAGGTAAAAGCAATGCAAATTTCTGTTACAAAATCATTTAGTAAATATAATTTGAAATATAAAAACACTGGAATATCACTCAGTTTGCAAAAAGCAGAAAATATTATAACAACTATAAAGATAAATCTTAACGACATTATGCAAAATGAAACGAGCCAGTCACAAAAAGACAGAGATCGTATGATATGTATAACAGTTACACTCTCTGAAACAGAACAAGAGTGGTGTTTGAAAAGTGAGATGAAATGGGAATAATTGGTAGTTGTTTAATGTACATTAAGATTCAGCCTTATGGTCAGCCATGGTGGCTCACGCCTGTGCTCCCAGCACTTTGGGGGGCCGAGGCAGGTGGATCACGAGGTCAGGAGTTCAAAGCCAGCCTGGCCAAGATGGTGAAACCCCATCTCTACTAAAAATACAAAAATTAGCCAGGCATGGTGGTGGGTTCCTGTAATCCCAGCTACCCGGGAGGCTAAGGCAGAGAATTGCTTGAACCTGGGAGGCGGAGGTTGCAGTAAGGCGAGATTGCACCACTGCACTCCAGCCTGGGTGACAGAGTGAGACTCTGTCTCATACATACACACACACACAACACAGACTTAGCTTTGCAAGATAAAAACATTTTGGCATATGTTGCATACCAATATAAATATAATTAATATGAAAAAACAAAATATTTTAAAAATTTTTAGGTGAGGTGCAGTGGCTCATGCCTGTAATCCCAGCACTTGCAGAGGCTGAGGCAGATAGGTCACTTGAAATCAGGAGTTCGAGACCAGCCTGGCCAACATGGTGAAACCCCATCTCTACTAAAGCAACAACAACAACAAATTAGCTAGGCGTGGTATGCACACCTGTAATCCCAGCTACTCAGAAGGCTGAGTCAACAGAATTCCTTGAACCCCAGAGGCATAGGTTGCAGTGAGCCAAGATCACACCACTGCAGTCCAGCACAGGAGACAGAGTGAGACTCCATT